AGTAAATTTTCATTTTTGGGGAGAACTATTCTTGTTTTGGTTCTTTAACGTGGCTCTAGAACTTGAATATTATACAACTACAGGAAAATTGCTTAATTTAAAGCACAGAAATCTGGGCTGAAGTTGATAACCTGTAATCTCATTCGTCTTTGCTCCAGAGGTGCAGTTCCGGCCGTACCGCACCGACGACTTCATCACGCGACTGTACTACGAGACACCACGCTTCACAGTGCTAAACCAGACCTGGGTGCTGAAGGGGCGGGTCAATGACTCGGAGCGCAACCCCAACCTGTCCTGCAAACGCACGCTCTCCTTCCAGCTCATCCTGAAGAGCAAAGTGAACTCTGCACTGGAGTGCACTCGGAGCGCCCAACCTGTCCTGCAAACGCACGCTCTCCTTCCAGCTCATCCTGAAGAGCAAAGTGAACTCTGCACTGGAGTGCTCCTTCCTGCTCCTGAAGGGCCCGTACGATGATGTGAAAATCAAACCCGTCATCCAGCACCACGTCTTCTCCAACGACGCCAACGAAACCGAGTACGCCCTGCTGCCCATCAACGACAGCGTGGAGTGCAACAAGCTGCTGGCTGCCAAAAACATCAACCTCCGCCTCTTCATCTTTCAGATCCAGAAATAGAGGCACGAGACGACGGGATGGAAGAAACGGATCAGACGGCGGTAGGAGGAGGGGATGGTGTGAACAAAGGAAAAGCGAAAGAGGGGAAATGAGCACCACTGAACCACAGATACCTCTACAGGAGCAAAAGAAGGATGAATACGGCCCATCAGTACTGCAGTAGATCGTTTGTTTGTGTGTGTGAGTGTGTGTTGTTGCTGTTAGCTTTCAGACCCTCTACAGACAAAAAAAGTCACCCCTGCTGATGTCTCATTGGCAGAGCAGGACAGGCCTGAATGAACAACACCAAGGATCTGGGACTGTATTTGTGTGTTTTTTGGGCCTGTTTGTATGAATATCAGTCAGTAAAGACCAACAGTATGAGTGATATAAGGAACGAAGCTGAGCGAGTGCTAGAGATAGAGACAGGTGTAGTGCAACCAATCATTCAGGCAGCGTTCAACTCTGCGTTTGTGTGTTTTCACAGTTTTCAGACCTTCCTCTCAAGGCTTACGCACACAGATGCTGCGGCGCAGCGGCCGCGACTGCTTTAAGTGTATTTTTGTATATGAAGGTGGCCATTTTCATTGAAGCGCAGCAGTACAGTTAAGATGAACAAAATGGCTGCTGAAATCACAACCCGGAAGATGCGATTTGCATGTTTTTAGTGTTCGAGTGTTCTCTTTGGAACACCCAATTTTAGTTGCGTAGCATCATAGCCTTGTAATCTAACTTAAGTTTGACCTTATTAACACATTTATTTAAGAACCTGTGAATCTTGCCTTTTTTCCCCCTCCTGTGAATTGTTTTCCTCATTATCTGGCCCCGTTTAACCCCCCTGGAACATTTCTCACATCATGATGTCAGGTTATAGATATTTATATTTATTGCTTTTGTTTAACCTGCATTAATTAATGAAGTAACAGACATTTCTCACTCACTCAGCACTGCAAGACTGGAAAGATCTGATTGTGAGCCATTTTTACAGACCCCTTCCCTTCTTCCACCCTCATCCACATATAGGCACACAAATTACCTTTCATACCTTCATTAAAATTGCACAGACACACACACACACACACACACACAAAGCTGGGGGTTACAAAAGAGCCAATGGGGTAATCGGATCTCAGTTCAGATAAACGCGGCTGTGACTTAGTTTTGACATACTTGAATTCATGAACGACAGAACAACAAACAGTTAAACTGATCTGGCAGAGACTCACTTCTGATTAGAGGAGTTTATTTTAAACTGTTTCTGCATTTAAGAGCTTTTAATTCTCTCTTTGGCTGTATATGTGCCTTTCTATTAAAGCTCATTTAAACTTGTCACTGCTTTCTTTCTTGACTACTTGAGTTGACACTTGTTTTCCACTAGGAAACCTGTTATTTTCTGATAAATGCATGTTTAAAACAATAATTTACTGTAGGTCAACATATCACGCGGGTAACAGACCACGTGTTTTTTTTTTTTTTTTTAAAGGGACAATTTACATCCCAAAAATAACATTATATCATCGTTTACGCACCCTCGTGTTGTTCTACACCTTTTCTGTGGAACACAAAAGGGAAAATTTGTCTGTCCGAATGAATCAAACTGAATCGCGAACAAATTACGTTCTAAACACAGTTGAGAGAAAACACACGTTTATCGGAAGGTAATCTCCACGGGCAGAACAGGATTTATCAGTAAAATTTCACTGGACTCCTCTACGATTCTTAAAATTCACGTGATAAATATCGATGTCCGATTTGCGAATGAATCGTTCCGAGTCGGATCTGTTCAATAATGCAATTCATTCTGTCTGAATGATTCGTTCACGATTAATCTTAAAAGAATGCTTGGTTATTGTAGTGTTCTCTTATAAGCAACGTTATAAGAAACGTATAAGGGCGTTATATTAAGTTCTAGGCCTACATCTTAATCGTAATCAAACTCATTTAATCAAAATGACTCACCTAAAATTTAGTTACATTTCCCTGAATGTCTGAAAAGGCCAACGTCAATGTAAGATGTCTGCAACACCAATAAAACGCCCATGAGAACATCAGCTGACTCTATTATGAATGTGATTAAAACATACAATAAGCCATCAAACTGATTACCAATTAAATGGCCATATATTTAGGAATTGCCACTTAGATATTGTCCAGTCTGGTAAAATGTTACATCCTAATAAAATTCTGAAAAACAAACAAACCAAAATTTCTTTTAAAATGGTTAATATACTGTTTTGATAACTGAGAACACCGAATCTAGTTTCATTCCCAATTTATGTAATATAGCCCTCTATAAACAAGATAAATACAGTATTACCATTCAAATATAACATTTTATCCATATTAAGCAAAACACAAGTAATAATATAAATAGTATAAATTATGCTCTAATAGCAATTTAAACATGATGCTATCGATGTACATGTAAAGTAAAATTCAAAACATTTTTGACAAAGTAGAAAAGGTTGAATCTGAAGGATGCTATCATCAGACTCGAGTGCTACAGACTGTAGGGAACATTATTGTGTAGCTACAAATACTGAATGCATATGAATTCATATCAACACTATATGTGAACCCATAGTGTCTCTTAGTACCAGCACTGGTTCTGATTAAGGCTACAGCCATTTTTGCAGCTACTTGACTGGAAGGAAACCCCCATCACATTAAGTGGAGGGGAAGAAGGGGCCAAAGAGCTGCGGTATACTTGAACTCCAGCAGGGGGCACCAAACACGGTGTCTGACCACTTTGTCCTGACACCAGCATTGCAGGATAGGACTGTTGTTGTTGTTGTTGCTGCTGTGATACCTTGTTACAAGAGAGAAAGCACATATACATACATTTTATAATTCAGAATTCAGAACTACATTTCCCTTTTTTTTTTTTTTTTGCATCAGTACCTGATAGGAGGATACGGATGGGTAAGGTCCCACAATGCCAGGCTGTGTTTGGGGCAGAATCTGACTTCCCATCATGCCTGGGCAGCCTTGTTGGTTTGACATAACAGGCGGGTATACTGTTAAAAAAATGTTGACAAGTATGTGTGAGATTTTATTAATTGTATAGTAATTATGGACTCAAAATGACAGTCAGTAAAGCACTATCACATATGCTAAAGGTTATTTATTCATGAATTTTTATGCATGTACACACAATACTTGAACCGTCTATATCTATGTCTCATGAGAGCTGAAGTGAATAGCAGGAAAAGAGACCGGTTCACTGTGAGACCAGTGCTACCATCTCTTACAGTGTAACGGCCCCCTCCCCTACTATTGTGAGACTCAGGCGTAAAGAATGCAGAGAGGCTTCATGTGTACCTGTTTGTGCATTGTAACTGGCTGCTGCGTATTGTTGAGATGCACTGGGACATTGAACAGGGTAACTGTACACTGAAACCTAAGAGGGGAGACCAGAGTTGACTCATAATTAGACATACAGTGTGACATTACATCGTATCTCATTACTCATTTGTGATGAAGTACCTGGCTGCTCTGCTGACTCTGAGGAGGCGGGGCTGTGGGAGGAGCCAGTGTCATTCCAGGGGTTATGTAACTGTCTGAATGGTGAGACGGAGCGTAACTGTGGTGGGGCAGAGCATAGCTGTGTGTGGGTGGAGCTCCTTGCATGTAGAATGAGGACATATCTGGAAGATCCCCTGATGAGGACTGGGGACTCAAGGTCATGTGACCAAACTTAGCAGTAATGTCTTCCCTCTAAGAATCAAAAATAGGCTTGTCATGTACTGTTATCAACACTACCGCTCAAGAGTTTGGGGTTGGTAAGATTTTTAAAATGTTATTAAAAGAAGTCTTTAATGCTCACCAAGGCTGCATTTATTTGATCAAAAATACAGTAAAACTTTAAATAACTGCTTTATATTTTTATATATTTTAAAATGTAATTTATTCCTGTGATGGCAAAGCTGAATTTTCAGCGGTCATTACTCCAGTCTACGGTGTCACATTTTTCAGGATTCTTTGATGAATAGAAAGTTCAAAAGAGCATTGTTTATTCAAAATAGAAATCTTTCGCAACATTATAAATGTCTTCACTGTCACTTTTGATCAGTTTAATGCATCCTTGCAACTTTTGAATGGTAGTGTATGTACTAAATATTTTATGCAAATAACAATATAAATATAAAAAATATTAGATAACTAGATAAATAACTAGATTATATTAATACTTATGCCTCACTTACAGTCTGTTCTATTGGGTGTTGCTGGGAGGTAGAAATGTTTAACTGCTGAGGTGAAAGGTATGTCACAGAGGAGTATTGAACCTAAACCAAAAATGAGAGGGCAGATTGTGAATTTTGTTGATTTAAAAAAAAAAAAATATCCTAAATAAAATACATATTTTGGCATCTGTTCTACAGAAATAGAATCTGTTTGTTTCTGTAATAACAGCCTCATTATTATGTGCAGAATGAGAAATTGATATTCATTTTGATATTTGATTAAAAAAATTACATTTAACAGTGTTATTAAATTTTTGTGTGTTGTTAAGAGTGAACTTAAAGTTAGCGTTAGATGAAAGCAAAGGTAAACGTAAAAATAAGGCAAATGAGCATGAATAAATATCCCATATCAACCAATAAATAAAATATTAAAAGTCAGATAAGCAATATGGTATTGATACACTGCGCACCACTAGTCTCTATTATGTTTCACCTACCTGTGGGACACCATGGCTTGCTACTGGCTGCTGCTGAGGTGGAGGGGGCGGGGCTTGTGACTGTACTGGGTTAAGCTGGTTACATGGCTTCTGACTTACTGGCGGGTTGTAAACAGCTGGAGTTCCATCAGGATTCAGAAATGGCTGCCCTAAAAGAGATATCCATAGTTGGATGAGAAAGTGTGTATACAGTCAGTTTGAACCAATTAGTCATCTTCTACTCTGGGAATTGTGAGTGTATGTATGTGTACCTGTATGTGGATTCAATAAGATGCTCCCAGGCGGTATTGATGACTCAGCAGGCACAATAATGTAAGCAAGGCTGTTGTTGGGTGGAGCGTATGATAGAGCTGACTCAGACACTGTTAGATCGATCAGACAGAAACAATGGCAGGTCAGAAACATTGTGAGGGATTTTGCACTATTTTTAGTTCACTAATCAAATAAGAATATTTGTGACACTGATCATGTCACTCAAATCATGCTGGAGAGCATCATCAGGTTTTACGAAAACCTGCAGAGTTCATGCAACTCAAGTGCCACTGTCATTAAAGCAAAAGGGAGACAAATTAAAGACATTTTGTGTGATTTTTTTTACATAGAACATTTAAATTTTATGCTAATAAACATAATTAGATTTTTGTGTTAAATTTGAAAAGAATATAAAACAAAAGCGTTTTTATTAGACTTCTAAGCCCCGCTCCAAATAACTAGTGCCCAGAGTAACACCCAGATTGGCTTTGTGGCCTTTTTTATCTTTTTTTTCTGACATGGACATGAAGGCTGATGTTATTTTTGCACCTTCATTGCAGAGTTTGGAGCTGCTGTCTGAACGAGCGTGTGCAGATTTAGAGGTCCATGTCGGGCTGTCAGAATCTGTGCTGCTCCAAGGTCGAGGGTCATTCCAATGAGAGTCCAGTTCAAAGCTGCTCTGCCTGCTGCCGGACAGCCGTCCTGAGCCATCCCTGTTACCCCTGTCAAGATGGCAGAAACATGTTTTGTGCCTAGTTTTTGCAAGATATTTGATATTAAATATATCTCTAAATGTATCTAAGTAAGTTGCTGAAAGTTGTTTGAGTTACATTTTCTTAGCTCAGAAATAAGAAAAAAAAAAAAAGTTGTTTTGATTTTTTGGGGGAATACAACACTTTAAATGTCCCTGCTATTACTGAAATAGGTGTCATGAGAAATAACACCCGTGTTTGTGACAGCCCTTGAGTCAGGGGAGCAGCCTTTTTTTTAGCCAATCACAAAAGCTTAGCCTCTCAGAGAACACTCTGTTCTGACAAACCTTCAGAGGTCGGATGATGAAGAAAAATAATTTCTCACCTAAATAGCTGCCGTCTTCTCTGGGTCTCACTGAGAATACTGCTGTCATCTAGACCTCTGCAAACAGACACACACACAAAAACAGAAATAAAAGAAGAGAACAGTTGAAATCAGTTCATTGATTTATAATAATTACACTGGTAAAATTACGTATTTAAAGGGTTAGTTCTCTCAAAAATGAAAATTACCCATGATTTACTCACACTAAAGCCATCCTAGGTGTATATGACTTTCTTCTTTCAGACAAATACAATCGGAGTTATATTAGAAAATGTCCTGGCTCTTCCAGGCTTTATAATGACAGTGAATGGTGGTCGAAATTTTGAACCCTTTTGAGATTTTAAAGGCCTTTTGAAGTGAATCGATGCGTTTGTGTTAGAAAAATATCCATATATAAAACTTTATAAACCATAATCTCTAGCTTCCGCTAACTGTTGTATGCGTGTACATGAGAGACTGGCGTTCCAGCGGATGACGTAGGATGTAGGCGAAGGTGGTTTACAAACTACTGATTACATTTTTT